CAGATTCAGAGCCATTCATGTATACTGGCCAAACCCGAATCCAGGGAAGTCATCAACATTTGCACAGGATAGTGGAAGTGATCTCACTACCATATTTCAGAAGAGAAATCTAGCACAAATCCTAGCTTTCAGAAGAGGCACTAGCTGGTTTAATGAGCACATTCAACAAGGGGATGACTCAGTGGGCTCTGTTTTAGGGGTTGCAATATGGGATGTCTGTGCAGGAGTGTGGTGTCCTCATAATACATACTCAAAAGGCTTTATGAATGACGAATGAAGGGAGGAAGAGGTACTCCTTTTTTTTTTTTAAATACAATGATGATAACCCCATTACTTAGAGATAAGGGGGGTGACTAGACACAAGCATTGTATTTGCCAGTAAAAGGGACTGGCGTAATGAAACATTTCTGAGAAATTCACAGAAGGGGCATATCCAGTAATGAGACACCTCATTACAGTAGAGTTCTCTCTATACTCTATTCATACATAAGTGTGACCCAGTGTCTAATGCAATGCAGCCCGTTACTCATATAATTAAAGTCAATATTGTGCATTGGGGGTGAAGTACTGTACTAAAGGAAAGAGTGGGACGGACACTACTATTTTTGTTCGATCAAAGGTGCTTCATGCAGGATGTGTGTCCTTCTGCGCTATTTCTTAAATAGTTTTTTTTTTTAATGCTATAGAATTATATCTTTGACCACTGCAACACATCTCATGCCACGAGTGGTGGATTTTTAAGGTGCTGTTTAACTGTTAAAAGTACATCTTGAGAAACCTGTCTGCTGTTCAATAGTGTGCAAATTGTTGTGTTTTCTAAGTGTTTTTTCAGTCTTGGATCTGTAGCAGTTGAATGGAATGCCAAACCTGACAAAATTATAAATAAATAAATATATAAATAAATATACAAAGAGAAGTAAAATAAAATCTAAAATATTAATTATTTATACTTTTATTTCCTTATTTATGTATATTTTTTCCACATTTATTTTTTCTTTTATTTATTTCTTCATTTACTTATTTCAACTTTTATTTTTTTAAGTATTTATTTCTGTATTTATTTACTTTTACATTTATTTATCTATACATTTCTTTGTCTGTAGGGTAATGAGGAGGGCGTGTTTTACCTCAGGAATAGCAACACCTTGTGGTGCCCAAACGAATTACAAGAAGTGTAGCCTATATGACGTGCCTGTGATAGTGTGATGAATGACTTAGATGGGCAATATGGCCAAAGTCTTATATCACGGCCACGGGTTAAAGGCACAATATGTAATTTTCGCCACTAGAGGGCGCGTATTCAAAATAAACAAAGAGACAAAGGCGTAGTTTGATGACGCTGTGACTGAGTGTGGAATCATGGGAGTTGTCGTCTTCATCCTCACAGCCGATGCAATCAGACGGGACTCGGGCAGAAATCATGTTCATGGATAAGCTAATGATTTATTAGGGTAAAGCAGCTACTAGATACATTTGAAAGTTCTGTTATAATGCTACTCTGTGCGGTCGTCACCGGTCTATTAAAACACACAACATATTAAAGCGTCTTTGGTGTTTCCATGTTTTCTACAAAACAAAACCTGAAATCGAGGGGTTAAGACGTCTTTGGTAGGCGACACAATGACACTATGGACAGGGTGCGTGTCACTAGTTAAAATTGCTTATTTCTCTGGATTTAAACATTCTTCGAAACATTTGGGATAAAGCAAGTCAGCAAACAAGCCAGCAAAATATATAACACTGTTCTAATGGTTTTTGGATATTTTAATAAACAAAATCTTACATATTGTGCCTTTAAGTCATTTATTATCACCCTATCTCTATGTATAGGCTACTACGGAGCCGCTAAAGGGACATGTTGGTGGGAAAAATATGGGGTGGGAGGAAAAAATATTTTTCAAATCTTTTGCGTTCCCCAAGAAACTTTGCATTCGCTCACAAAACCAGTTGAGTTCATACAGCTCAGTACGTTCACAATGAAGCAGTTCATATAGTTTTATTTTGAACTTGGACTCAAGTATGAAGAAATACAGTCAGAGCTTAGTTCAAGGCACGGTTTTGGGACATTCTGAAACGCTTAATGTACTAAAACAGTGACACTGGAGGACCACATTCAGTATCAATAATTAACTCTATTAATATTAATAACCTTATTAATATTTTTTATATTACAGACAAGCAGAATAGGCCAGAATATGAACGCAACGTGCATTTAATGCACATTAAGCTTTTTCTCCCCCAAACGTTAAAAAGGACGAAAACGGTGATATAAAAAGACCAAATCTGGTATACAGTTTATTAATAAAACATATTATGCACAGGAAAGCAGATGAGCCCAGAATGTGAACGGAACATGCAAAGTTTCACGTGTTTTCTCCCCCCTAGAAAAAAAAAACAGTACAATGAAAACTCTTAACGTGGCTTAAAGGATTAGCACGTTGCTTGCCTGTACATAGTATATATTTTTAATAAATTATATATAAAATATTGGCTTTTTATCACTGTCTTCTTATACTAAGCCACGTTAAAGGCACAATGTGTATGCCTTCGCCGCTAGAGGTCGCATTTTCAAAACAATAACTAAGGCGGAGCTTGACGACGCTCTGAAGGAGAGTGGAATCAAAGCCACTAGAAGGTAAGCGTAACGGCTAATGCTAACGCTTACAATTTGCTGTTTTTTTGAATGGATGTCAATGGAGGAGAGGCTTCACTATGCTGAATAAACAGCTTTTTAGAGGAAACAGCTTATCATTTAATAAATCAACAGCCTATTAGCTAATCTCCAACATGTTTTACACTAAGCAATACTTTTGGATTGGACTATTTTTAGAGTTTACACCGAAAAAAAATGCCGTTTTATAAGAGAAGTCACTGACTTTTTTTTGCGACAGGTGAGATACAGCTTACGGCATTCTCATTCATTCCTATGGGATCCATAAACGGCGATTGAGTGTCGCACAACTCCGACTGAAATTCAATGACGTCAAGGCTGTACTGTGATTGGTTATTTATTTCTCCCCCATAGAACTGTAGCATAAATTCTCAACTGGTTTTGCGAGCAAACGCAATTATCTTTGCGAGAGAACAAAAAAAGCTTTGAAAAATATGTTTTCCTCCCACCCCGTATTGTTCCCACCAACATGTCCCTTTAGGGGTTCCGTAGGATAGGCTACATACAAATAGGGTGATATTAAATGATTTAACCCGTGGTATAAGATTTTGGCCATATTGTCCATCTAAGTAATTCGTCCCACTATCACAGGCACGTCATGTAGGCTACACTTCTTCTAATTCGTTTGGGCACCACAAAGTGTTGCTATTCCTGAGGTAAAACACGCCCTCCTCATTACCCTGCAGAAATGTATAAATGTGGAAATAAATAAATATAGAAATAAATACGTAAATGAATACAAAAATGTTGAAATAAATAAATGTGTAAATAAATAAAATAAAAAAAATGTGAAAAAAATAAAAAATATACATAAGGAAATAAAAGTATAAATATTATTTTTTCTTTTTTTTTTCTTTGTATGTTTATTTATTTATTGATGCTTTTTTACATTTATTTGTATAGTTATTTATGTATTTATTTATTTTTAATTTTGTCAGGTTTGGCATTCCATACAGTTTCAGATTTGTATGATATAATCTATGGCAGGGGTATTGATATTTATTATATTTATTAGGGTATTTACACTAAAGTCTTGAAAGAAAAGAAGCACAATAACAGCACCTTTAAATGTATTACTAAAATATGACTACTGTATGCATGATATTTACATTATACATTATAAGTAAACCTCTGGGAAAATAATACATTAAAAAGTTATGTCAGGACCCTTTTAATGTCCCCTCAAAGTGATATGAATGTATATTTTGCACCGGACCTTACCCTTCACATCTGTAGAACTAACACATTTCACACTAGCCTTAAGGCTTTCAATCATAAAAACGTGCATCTCTCTGCACAAGTAAAATGTGTGCTAAATGTTACCACAGAAACACAGGAGGCATGCTACTAAATGAACTGATATCTGGAATTAATTAGGTTACCTTTGATAATGGTAAAAAGGAACCAAATTTCATCACATATCAGGTAGCCAATGTGCAGAAATGTGACAAACGGGTTAAATACAACTTAAGCTGTATTGACAAGATCTGTTGCATGCTGTTGAAAATGTTATTTAAGCTCTAAAGTTGTCCAAATTGTCATTGTGAGGTGGGACTACTTTTCTTGATATGATAACCAAAACGATTCTGATGGGTGGAGCTATTTTTAAATGTAAACAATGTTTTATGGCTAGTTACAGCAGAGACCGTCTTCCAAGTGAAGATAACAATCTCTAGCTAAAATGTGTTGAAAACATGGAATTCAGAAATGGGTAACCCAGAGGCTGCTGTGCCTGATTGTAAGTAAATAAAGGAGGTTCTATATGATCACATCATGTCTCTTCCTGGAATTTTTGAGTGGATATCAAGCAAAAGTGGTCATGTCACTTAAATTTGAAGTTAAAATTGGACAGACATCATTTGTAAACTGCAAGCCACAGATACAGTCGGAGCTTAAGTCTTATTTTACCCTGTAATATACATTTAACTGAATAAGTAACTTAGAATCGGTCAATAGTGATTTGTTCATTCAAACACACAAGCGCATCTCCTTTAATCTAAAATATTTCCCAATTTCAATGGGAATAAAGGACCTTTGAGGTATTTTAAAACATTTCCCTGCAAAATAGTCAAAACATTTGGACAGGCTACAAAGAATAGCAACATAGCATAGTTCTGGAGGGGTGTCTTCAGTTCTGGTCCTGGTTACAGCAGAATTGGAAAAGGAAATGTTAGGTTCATGGCCAAAATATAGGGGGGCAAGGGTTTGAGCAGAAGATACAGCAGCAGATATCAGCTGGATGAGAGGAAATGCCAGATTTTGGAAAGAAGGATTACGTGGGACAAGTGAGAAAAATGTAGAATGTCAAAAAGCGGTGTCTCTCACTTACCATTTGTGATGCCAGGAGATAGATGGTCTCTCTCATGATGCCTAGACCTGGAAGCATCTTGCTCCCAGCCCCCCTGCTGACCTGTTGGTGGTCCCTGGCCCTCCAACATGTTCACAATGTCCATTCGGTCAATGCTCTTGAGGGCCATGTACAGGCTGTCCACTACAGTGGTGAGAGACACACAGATGGTGGAGAAATGGAGAAGGGGAAGACAGGGTAGTTGGACATAAAGGATGAGGACAGAGACACACCACTGACAAAACCAAAGGATTTTAAGACACTATTAGGAAAGACATCCAAATAACAATAATTTCAAAACGACATTAGGATTAACTGTAAAAACCTCTATTACTTTTGTTATCCAAAATATGTAGATACTGTGCATAAATCTGTCTCAGTCACGTTAACTTTTCTTTACAGCCACCATATTTATCACCCTCAGGGGGAAAGCAATGGTAGAGAATTCAAAAACATACCACAAGTTAATCATACATAGGAGGATGTCTTGTGCAGACTATCATGTGACCAATGAGCTTCTCCTAATTTTCACCTAACAACATTGGGGAGCCCCACCCATTTACACCATAGAAAGTCGGCCCTAACCACAAGTTAATCATACATAGGAGGATGTCTTGTGCAGACTATCATGTGACCAATGAGCTTCTAATTTTCACCTAACAACATTGGGGAGCCCCACCCATTTACACCATAGAAAGTCGGCCCTTTTTATGCAACCCCTCCACATTAAGAACCCAGAGGTAGGATGAGCACCAGTTTGGCAGTGTTCAATGTTCATTTTTTGGGAAGTTTTATTTTGACAAAAACTTGAGGGTGATGGGACAGGGCCTAATATACCCCCATGAACTTGGGAAGGGCAGAGCCAGGGCTATCACTGGCCTCACTCCTCTTAAAACAATGCAGGGCATACCAATGGCTCCCCATGCCTCTTCTTCTTAGGGGGCTGTCTACACCCATAAAGTGTGTGCTGGAGAATGGTGAGATGGATTCCTGGCCCAGATCAGGTGACAACTGAAAGCCTTATTCTTTTTCTTCTTAGATTTACAGTGAGCCTGCATAGCTGCCACTGCTGAACCAAAAAACCCACCCGGGGATGGTGAAGCCTCTAAGAACAAGAACAAGGAGTTCTTATCAATGGTCTTATAGATGTTCAGTCACAGATGCATTTGAGCTGCCACAATTAATGCCACGGAATGACCCACAGCTTGGTTGGTGTATCTAATGCTGTGTGTATTTTAGTCCACAAGTCTTTAACTAGCTTCCCTTCCTCAATGGCTGTGCCCACCTCAGCCTGGAGCTCTGCAACATAGGCAAGTTGCAGAGACACTGACAAAGATCTTTGCTGTGACCGGGTATGCTTTGGCTTTATAGATCTTGTTCACACACTTGGCTGTTTGTGAGATAGTTGAGGTGCCGAATCAACCCCAAATTAGTCTAAGGGGCCAGACAGGCATCCAGAGATTCCAGAAGGCTCCACCATCCCCTGTTTGCTGCACCCTCCATCACCAAGAATGCATTAAAACACACAAAATTTGGAATGGCATGGTTGCCGGCCATTCAACTCCTAGGTGCTCAGCAGTTTGGCGACAGACAGGAGTAAACAAATCTCCAGCTGTGAAGAAGAGAAACCACCCTCCTTTAACCCATTGGCATCCTATTCAGGAGGACTGGGGAGGAATATGCCATGATAGAGTCAGCTGTGCCTTCCATTCCTCTGACTGGGCCTAGTCCTCTATAGTCATCATCAAATCAGAGAGGTAAGGATTTGATTGGGGCAGTTCGGAGGCTCAAAACTCAATTGGAATCGCACCACTTTTGAAGCAATAGCTGTCTGGGTACATCAAATGTCTCAAACACTTGTTTCTAGAGCCCTCCAACACTGCAGATTTTGAATGTCTCATTTGTCTGACACATTTCAGATCTTGGAGTCTCTACTAATGATCTGATGACCTGAAGCAAGTGTGTTTGATTAGGGAGAAATACAAAGACTCCCTCCCGAAATCACATACCGTCTTGAGAAGGTCCATTTTCTTGAATAAGTAATTACTTTGCGACCGCAAAAAGAGTCTGTTCTATATGGTATGAATGTGTGTAGTATGAATGTAATCTGGACGTACTACAGTCACCATTGTCACATGACCTACCAGAGTTGTTGTTTCACGTCATTTCATGGGATAGCCTGGGGCTTCATGGGACAGTAAAGTGTCTATCGTTTGCACACTTCAGAATCATGCTGAAAGTAGTAGGTCATCTAGGTACTTTTTGCCTACTCTTTTATGCCTTCTGTGAATTCTGACATATTTATTTTGTCACGTGCTGTTTTTCGCCTACTATATAGTAAGGAAGTATGCGATTTCAGATGCAGCCCTTATGTGCATTGTTAAGGAAGTTCCAGGGACAGTGACCCACTGTTCCTGTCGGAAGCAAGAAGTCCACACCTGGTGCAAGTCCTTCCTCTCAATATGATTGCCACAAGCATTTGGGCAAGGCTGTGTTGTGCGGCATGCTTTGTGTGCAGTCGCACTCATTTTTTGTTCTAGCTAGAGCACAGTGCTGTGGCAAGCTGAAGTGGCTGAGTCGCCTACTCAAAACTATTTTTGTTTCATGCAACTTCCCAATAACTTGTTGGCTAGCCGCGACTGAAATAATGGACCGAAATGGAAGTAGTTCACAAACATCACAACTTTCTGGTAGCTAAAATGAGCTTGAAGAGACAGTCTTGAAGAGAGAAATTCTGAATGAGAATTGGGCTGCTGGCCAGCTTTATACGGAAGTGGGCAATTCTCACTGCCTAAAGGCATGCTTAAAGATCTTCAAGTGCAGTCGTGCAACGACACAACTCCCATAGAGTAGTCTGTATGGAAATGACTTGACGGATAGAGAACTGACAAACCATTGTCCTGCTCAGATCTCAGCCACAGCTCTTCCTCAGGAAAACACACAGATCACAAAAGCAGATTGTTCTCCATGGTGATTGTGTAGCCAATAATTTTTCTGGGGTTCTCCTACATTCATAAATATGATAAAATATTTTTTTAGATAGAAGATAGAACATCCTGTGTTTACTGAATGTATATAATTTTCTCACTGAAGCTGTGCATGAACTTATGATCTTAACTAGGATTAATTACAAGCTATCACTGAGATTTCAGCAAAAACAGTCAACAGATGTAACATCCCAATCAAAATAGAGTCGACGAATGGGGCGCAGCCTTAAGGTAACATGAAACCCTCTTATTTCAATAATGGTTATTTCTACATCAGATTTGAAAGGGGTTCAGAATTGGGGGCGTGGGAAGCCGTGGTAAGGTGGGAAGATAGAGGGGTGGTGAGAGGGAAAAGACTGCATGATAAGGGGAAGGCCTGAAGCGCAGCAAGACAAAAGTTTTGATAACTTTTTTGAATCCTGCAGCACTGCAAGTTAAAAGCATGCAACAAATATGGCGGCATGTTCATACAGTTACGTCACATGAGACAGATTAATAAGGTTATATTTGCTCGCAAATAATTTAGGTATTCTTAGGATCATAGTGAATGGACACTATGGCACTCACTTTTGGCTCTCTTCCCCTCTCGAGCGGCCCACAGGTTGAGCAGTGTTGAGCTCTGCTCTAAAAGGGAGTTGGGATTCTCCACACGGATCTTATTTATTTCATCTACATTAAACTGCAGTTCACGTCCCAACTCTGCACAGGAATTAGATATGATACATTATGTTTCTTCACTATTAAGTGACTCATTTCAGACTAAATCATAATTTACTGAAGTATACTGTAAGTGCTAATTTTGTGCCACTCAAAAACATTATTGTACTAATAAATTGACAAGTCAATAATCAAACAAATATAAACTGCATAAATTGGTTGATACACAAATACATAAAGCAAAAATTTTGAAAGCACTGCATATTTATTTTAATTTTTTCGTCATCGATTTATGCCGTAGTGCTGTCTTTATGCTCTAGTGTTGCACCAGTGCATCCCTAGCCAATTTTCTTGAAAAATATGAAAGTTTTAAAACATGTTCAAATTTGCATATGTAAATGATGTGTGTATATATGTAGTGGGAGTATTGACAAAAACTGCAGGCAATGGGATTGCAGTGAAATAAGATTAATGTGCATTTATTTGCATATATGATATGAAAATATATGACATGATCTGACATGCCTCTTTCAAATTCTCACATCATTGCCACCTTTTGTACAACTAAACGGACTATAAAGTGGGTATAGAAAAGAATCACATTTTGTTGCTTTGCAGACTGAAATGAAGATGGACAGTTTTTGTTTTATCCAGCTCTATTTACTCAGTGCTACTTATAACATCCAAGTGAAAGATAAAACTTAAAAAAAAACTTTAAAAAAAACAAAAACAGAATCACTGATATTTTGTTGAATTACCTTTTGCTTTAATTACAGCCTTTAGTTTGTTGGGATTTGTCTCTCCTAACTTTGCACATCTAGACTTTGCAATATTTGCCCACTCTTCTTTGTAGAACTGCTCAAGTTCAGTTCAATTTGATGATGAGTGTTTGTGGACTGCAGTCTTCAAGTCATTCCACAGATTTTCAGTGGGGTTTAGTCTGGACTCTGTCTAGGCCATGCAAGGACATTCAGCTTTTTCTCCTTCAATCACTGTGTGCTCAGTTTCCCAACACTGGTCATGACTGCATGTGGCCTTTCTTGAGGAGTGCTTTTTTTCTGGCAACCCTCCCATACAAGCCACATTTGTAATATTGTTGTCACATGCACACAATGAGCACTCTTTGTCATAAAATCCTGCAGCTGCTTCAGAGTTGCTGTAGCTCTTGGTCGCCTCTCTGACCAGTTTCCTCCGGCTCTTTCAACCAGTTTGGAGTGACGTCCTGATCCAGGGAGGGTCTCTGTTGTACCAAATACCTTTCACTTCTTAATAATAGACTTCACTGTGCTTCTAGGCATTGATAAAGCCTTTGTAATATTTTTGTATCCATCTCCTGACTTGTGCCTGTCCACAACTTTATCCCGGAGATCTTTTGATGGATGTCCATATCTAATTGTTTGCTTCAGTTGCACTACCAAAGACTGAAATGCTCCAGAAAAGCTCTTTTCATGCTGAGCTGATCAAAATGAGCACAGCTGATCACAGTTGAAAGTCAAATGGCTTTGTGTGCCATTGAGAAGGTGATGAGCAACACCTGATTGAGTTTACAAGTCATTTTTAAGAGGGGGGTGTGATCCTTTTTCCAATTTATTTTTATTTATTTATTTTTTTCAGCTGGATAAAACAAAAACTGTGTTCGTCTTCATTTCAGGCTGCAAAGCAACAAAATGTGATTAATTTAAAGGGGGGTGATTCTTTTCTATACCTACTGTATATACACACACACACACACACATATTTGACCTTATTCTTCTTTTTTGCTATTATTATTCAAAACAATCTGTTTAAATCTGTATATTCCTGTGTATAAGTTTTCAGTTAATAATGACATTGAATTCAGCAAATCTTTAAATAATCAATTCATCCGCTTTAATACAATAATTAGAATCAATAACTGTTTTCAATTGATTATTGATTTGTCAATTAATTCATCGATTGATTATTACATTGCATGAATGGGCCCCCATATGAAGTCCCTAGCATGAAAAGGTTTAGCTTGTGCAAAATGATCTTTTGTAAAGCCAAAGAATTAAGCCAAAGGTCAATCTTTAATCTCATCTGCACATGCTAGACAATGTGAAATGTTCTCGAGCTTTGGTAAATTTGGACCTTAAAGTAAATGACTTGTCAAAACATTTTGTATTCTGTACATATGTGGCAGAGAAATAAGATCCAGATATGCCTTGACAAGACATGAGCAGTTAAGCATTATGCTTGGTAAGCGAAAGAAGTGCATCCAAACCCACACACTCACCAGCCCAGCTCAGGCCTAGCTGTTCAGCTATTAAAGCCATCTTTAACTCCGTCCTTTCCATGGCGCTCAGTGATGCTGCAGAAACCAGACCATCATTGGCTCAAGAGTTCAGCAATCTGATGCTGCAGCTCACATCTTATTCAAAGCAGGGTCAGGCAAAGGTTGAATGAGATTTGGGGGCTTAACATGCAGGAGATGTCAGTGTGGGAGCAATCTTACCCATGGCTGGTTCATTTAGAGCACTGTATCTTTCCCTCAGAGCCAAAGGAGTCAGAGTTCTCCTTCGCTCATCACTTCCTATAATCTATATAAAGAAATAAACACACTGTTAGAGAACTCTTGTGGATTTAACTCTTTATGTGAGTATCTGTTTGTGTAGGAAATGTGAGAACAGTGATTATCAACATTTGCCGTATTACCTTAATGCATGGCGGCATGGTAACGTTGAGGTTGCACAACACATGCTGACTATCTTCGTATTTGGTTGATTTGCGCAAGAAAGACAAGAAGCCAGAGGGATCTTTACTGCTGTCCCTCACCTGGGGAAAAGGGAAAAAGGTGGATATACCAATAACATGTGATGATATGGTGATGCTCACGAATATTAAATGGAAAAGTAAACTATGCATCACGCAGTGCCTTCTTTCTGGCAATATAGTCATATTTATTTTAATTTTTTTTATCCAAGCATGGGTTCCTGTTTTGAGTCATAAATATGAAACTTTGTGCTTTTTGTCATATTCTACTTTATTATATATGAAAATATGTTTTGTTTTTGACCAATATGTAATTATTTTACACATATGTAAAATATTATCATATTTCATAATGTTAAAATGAAAATTTAGATTAGCCATAGACAGAAGAAATGACAAAATTCAACACCCAGTGCACTGAAAAAGAAAAAAAAACTAATGGTTTCCATGAAAGGAATGGTTAATCTGAAAACTGTATCATTATTAAGTGGGGCAAAACCAAGAGTGGCCAATCTTATGTTGTGTATTTATATGTAGAACTGTAGATATCCAAATAATTTAAAGTTCAGTAAGCTTTAAAATCAGCAATAAACAGTGATACCTTGTTATCTTTTAATGGCTTTTTTTTTTTTAATCACAACATAGGAAAACCCTGATTGTGGTATTATGTATTACATTCAGCCACAGCATTATCTTAGTCTAGGAGCTAACATCAAACCTGGTCTGTCCTTACACTAAAAGACTGTAGCCTCACTGTGTGTCCGGGTCACACCATTCTGGTGTACAACTTTTAAAGGACTTGTTCATCCCAAAAATTAAAATTTGCTGAAAATGTTCTCCCCCTCAGGACATCCAAGATGTAGATGATTTGTTTCTTCATCAGGTTTGGAGAAATGTAGCATTGCATCAGTGTCTCAGCAATGGATGCTCTGCAGTGAATGGGTGCCGTCAGAATGAGCGTCCAAACAGCTGATAAAAACATCACAATAATCCACAAGTAATCCACAGCACTCCAGTCCATCAGTTAATGTCTTGTGACGCTTAAAGCTGTAAGAAACGTATCCATTATGAAGACATTTTTAACCTCAAACTGTTGCTTCCTGCTAAAATATGAGTCCTCTATCCATAATATTGATTTATCCAGTGAAAAAGTCACATCATCTGAATCAGGAGAGAAATCTGCACAGAACAAGCAACGTTTACAAGAGAAAACAGTCCAAAACAGAGCTATACAATCATGTCTGTGGATTTGGATGTGAGAGACAACAGGAGATTTGTCCTCCAGGAGATTTGACTTTTTTACTGGAGGCAGCGTTATTATAGATTATGGGCTGCTATTTTGGCCAGAGGTGACGTTTGATGTTAAAAATGCCTTAATGATGGATTTGTTTCTTACAAACACGCAGCTTGGCAGAGACATTAGTGGTGAAATTGGCACAATCATTGGCATATAGGAGTTTGGTGGTACCAGTTATATCTTCCCACTGGGCAGGAGCTGTGCCACCTATGAAATGTAGAGAAGTGCGGTTGAAAATAAATATGCAATAGACATGTCTTTATTTCCATAAAAAACTGAAATAAACCCTTAAAGGAGCCTTGCTTAGGAGCCCTATTTTGGGTAATTCAGTTTAAAATGATGATGAATTAATATTTTTTAACCTTAAAAACCTAATCCTTGCATTGATTCACTCTTGCACATTTGTTGAGCAGTGCAATTTCTGTGACACTAGCGGCAACTAAATGGAATTGCAAAACTATTTTCTAAACTTTCTATCATATTCTAGTTTTTAGAAATGGCTCTGCTACCTCCTTAAATGATTTTTCGCTAATTTTAATATCTTCTGGACAAAGATCTTGCCTGGTTGCTTAGAAAAGTAACAGCACACTCTCTTCAACAAACCGTATGATTTGAGCATGTCATTCATCTCTAAAAATGATTGTTTTAAACGCCAAAGCCTCATTATTTACTAGTCCAACTATGAATGGCTTCCTTACAGTAGTTGTGCACATTAAACTGGGATAAGAGAAAGCATTTTAACATTAAAAATGACACTACATCACCTTTAAATTAGTTCCTATTTCCTGAACATATATTTGTGTCATTATGCTAAAAATGAAATAAAATAATATAAATCCATTTACCCCGACAGTGTTTTTGTCTTTTCCAGTAAAAACCTCCAAACACCCTTAAAATTAGGTAACTGAGAAGCAAAATTTTACTCTCGGAGGGATTGGCATAGTAATGTACATGACAATGTTAATGTATTTGGTCTTGGCGGAATAGATCTGCTACGCTGCTGCTGCTGCAACAGAGCAAGTACAGAGACTTGCTACTGCCAATACACCCCCAACATGCTGCTGTTATCTTATTCATATAACATACATGAAATAACCCCCATATAGCGTACATGAATCACCTCGTAGCAGATCTATACAGGTGGAGCTGGGGAAGGTGGAGGGTTTCTGAAGCAAGCTGCAACTGCTACGGCAAGCACAAGTCATATATTTGAATGTTGAGCAGCGAGCTCATTGGCTACCGATACAGGAGAGAACCAATCAGCTGTGCCATGTGATAATGATGTCATTCGGTCAGATTGAGTTAGACCTATCGGACTGCGCCATCTAGAGTCTCATGCCAGAACTCTGTATTTATATACTATTATCGCATTTATTAATGTTGAATTAAATTTTATTTCTGTATTTTTACTTTTCATTTTAATTTAAGTAGTTTAGCTATGTGTTTTTGTCATTTTCATATATGTTTTTAAAATATTTATATTTAGTTTTATTTGCATTTCAGTTTCAGTAATTTTAGTACTTATTAAACATTCGGTTAGTTTCTAGTTTTCATTTCAAGTTTTCTATTTTCTTTCATTTCAGCTTCATTCTCAGTCAAAACCTGCCATTACCTTGATCCATTCAAACAAATCTTTCATCCATTCTCAACTTTTGCTATGTTTTTATGCCCTACTTTTTACTGCACTGTAAACGTGTCTGTATATGTTCGTCTGTAGAAATAACCTATGTGTTATCTAAGCAGGAAGTAGAAAGATCCCATACCATGCCATACTATACCAGACTTCATCATTCATTTTTACCATCATCAAACTTACAAAATCACATTCATTCACATTCCAAAGGAACAATGTTCAAATTGCTGATCGCAAATATAATTCATTTTGAGTGATGAAAGATGAGATGCTTCGTCATGTTTGGTGTCTCATGACCAAACAGGAAAACAACGACAACAAATCTAAAAGCTGTCAGATACATTATGGTAATATGCAGAAGATAAGCTTCCTCCATTTTCCATCACTTCTTCCTCCTCATCATCCTCCCATCTCACCTGCAGTCCGAGACGGACACGCTTGGTGACGGCTGTCTCAGGAAAACTGGCCTGGACCATGGGCACCAGCTTACTGGCGAGAAAACCCCCTTCTGGGCCAATCAGATCGTTCTCCTGCTGGATGCGGGACACCACCGCAAAGTAGAGCGGGAAGTCGGTCGAGATGATGCGCCTGATCCTTTTCTTGCCAAGTTCCTCCTGACTTTCAAGATCTAAAGTGCACAGCCAACAGAGACAAGACAAAATGATCACAGTTGACCGGCTACACAGACATCAGAAATGCTGTACATTTATAGACATTACAAAGCCCGTTAAAGGACTAGTTGACAAAAAATTGAAAATTTGCTGAAAATGTGCTCATCCTCAGGCCATCCAAGATGTAGATGAGTTTGTTTCTTCATCAAATTTGGAGAAATGTAGCATTGCATCAGTGTCTCAGCAGTAGATCCTCTGCAGTGAATGGGTGCCGTCAGAATGAGAGTCATAATGGATTTGTTTCTTACAAACACGCATTTTTGTCTTCTCCAGATGTTAACTGATGGACTGGAGTGCTGTGGATTATTGTGATGTTTTTATCAGCTGCTTGGACTCTCATTCTGACGGCACCCATTCACTGCAGAGCATCCCTTGCTGTAATGTGATGTAATGACACATTTCTCCAAATCTGATGAAGAAGCAAACACATCTACATCTTGGATGGCCTGAGGGTGAGGACATTTTTAGCAAATTTTCATTTTTGGGTGAACTATTGCTTTAAGAACATGTCTGAGAGATCAAAAGAAAACAAATATATAATATTTTACACACAGAAATGTTAACCCCCACCAAATTCTCATTCTTGTAATAAAAATTATATAATTTTTATTGGTTACACTTTATTTTACGGTGTCCTTGTTACGGTGTAATTTTACATTTAAGTACGGAGTAATATTAATTAACTACCACCCGGTTTCACAGACAAGGCTTAAGCTAGTCCCAGACTAAAATGCATGTTTGAGCTGTCTCAACTGAAAATATCTTGCTCTGACATATCTTAAAATATGTCAGTGTCATTGTTCTGTGTCAAGATGCACACCTGTAATGTTTTTTTCCATGGCATTTTTGTAAAAGTTGCTTAAATATCTTAATTTAACTACGGCCTAGTCCTGGCTTAAGCTAAGCCTACATGTATTAACTGGATGGTTTGGGTTAGGATGAGAAAACAATATTACTGGTGTGCATCTTGAGACAAAACAATGGCACTGAGATATTTTAAGATATGTGAGTGCAAGTTTCTTTCAGTTAAAACAGCTCAGACATGCATTTTAGTCTAGGCTTAAGCATTGTCTCTGAAACCGGGGGAATGTCTTACCTTACTATTTGTAATCCTGATTAAACAGCATTTTATTATTCTGAGTAATTAATAATTGTTATTTATTTATAGTACATCATTAGAATTATCCTGCATGTAATTGAATTGAATTTATTCAGATTTTTAAAAAATTACCCAGGCATGCTGATTCACATTACTTGTGTTTTTACAGTAAAGAGACTCATCAGTGAGAAAAATGAGAATCTTGTTCTTTCTTTTGAAACAGGACCTACTTCAAAATCTATAATAGATAAGAAGCTTATTCTATAATTTAACAGCAAATGTTCCTATACTGTAATTTGCCAATACAGCAAGAATTAGTACACACCTTCATCCATGCCATTGAGGATGGTCTCCAGGACCTCGTCACCATAACGATTGCGATGCTCCTTCCAGACCGATCCGTTCTCACTTCTCAAGACCACGAGCTCACGATCTCCCCGACCGAGTGCCGCGAAATGGGGAATCTCCACAATCACAGGCCTTCAGGAGTAATGTGAGCCGGGTCAGTCTGTGATTTCAGTTCGTCAAAACATATTCTGGTTTTCTAGCAAAACTGGTTTCCTCACCCTAAGAACTGCATGCCAGCTGGACCAAGAGAGATGATACGGCTGGCAAGACCCTCACCCTCCACCAGAGGAGGTGGTGTGGCAAGTTTCTGCGGCTTCACCAGGCGGCAGGTGATGCGTGTTGGAGCGGCACAGGTGCGAGGAGGAATGATGACACGCAGGCCGTTATGTCTGCTGCCTCTCATCGAGCCGCCACGAGCATCCACCATGAAGCTCACAAGGAAACTGCAGAACCATAAGCACAAAGACCATGCACAATTCATTCATGATATTTCAACTCCAAGCCAGAATGTGCACAATATTTCAGGTAGAGGCAGAAAACTCACCCGGTGTGGATGGGGCTCGCTACCGGACTGACATTGTCTGACGTCTCTGTGGCCGGACTGCTGGGGATCAGCGAATCCTCATCGTACTCCTTGGGCAGAGGAAGTGGGGTGTGCTGCTGTATATGTAGAAAAGTAGATACTAACACAAACAAAAATATACACATATACACTGTACAAAGTGAACATGTGCAGTTCTTGCCTTAAGGAGTTATTTTAAGTCATGTGATTTGACCCCTAAAATTACTTTCATTTGTGTAATTCAATGTTTTCATGTTTTTAAATATTTAATTTAATTTCCATAGATTAATATGTAGTGATAAAGTGTACATCCACAAAAATACAACATTGTTATAAACACCTGTAGTCTATTATTACACTTATAAGCATTTGGTTTTATAGTTATTAAAGCCTTTTTCAAAAAATGACAAAAACAATAATAAAAATTAGACAATAGTAAAAATATATATATAATCTGCATATGGTTAATAGCCCTTAAAAAGTGTTTTGGCGGCAATATGGTACAATAATGCTTTCAGATAGTAATACCATTGTATATCTACAAACTACACTACCATGGTACAAGTAATAATAATAATAATAATAAAATGTATAGGTATGGTATTACAACCCCAATTCCAGAAAAGTTGGGAGATTTTGTGAAATGCCATAAAATCAAGAATATGTGATTCATTCTTTCTCTTTAACCTTTATTTGACTAAAGTACAAAGAAAAAATCCAATGTTTTCACTGGCCAACTTAATTTTATTTAATAAAATATGACCAAATTTTGATTTTGATGGCTGCAACACACTCCAAAAAAGTTGGGACAGCGTCATGTTTACCACTGTGTCACATCAGCTGTCCTTTTAATTACAGTGTTTAATTGTTTGAGAATTGAGGATACTAATTGTTCAAGCTTTCCAAGCCAAATTTCTGTCCAATCTCGCTTGATACAAGACTTCAGCTGCTCAGAAATGAGCTGATTCTCCTCTTCATGACTGGTCATACATTTTCAATAAGAGACAGTTGGTCAGTGAAAACTTTGGAAATCTTTTCTTTGTGCTTTTGTCAATCCCACAGAACCAGTCATAAGGGTCAATTTTTCGAAATTGAGATGTATGCATCATCTGAAAGCTGAATAAATAAGCTTTCCATTGATGTATGGTTTGTTAGGATCGGACAATATTTGGTCGAGATACAACTATTTGAAAATCTGGAATCTGAGGGTGCAAAAAAATCTAAACATTGAGAAAATCATCTTTAAAGTTGTTTAAATGAAGTTCTTAGCGATGCATATTACTAATCAAAAATTAAGTTTAATATATTAACGGTAGGAAATGTACAATTTTTTTTTTAATGGAACATGATCTTTACTTAATATCCTAATGATTTTTGGCATAAAAGAGAAATGTATAATTGTGACCCATACAATGTATTGTTGGCTAGTGCTACAAATATCCCCCAGCGACTTAACACTGCTTTTGTGCTGCAGGGTCACATTTGATCAATTTAATGTGTCCTTGCTGAATAAAAGTATATAAAAAAAAATCTGTGACCCCAAACTTTTGAAATTTTAAAACATAAGTATATAGGAGTCAATGACACTTAATATAAAGTGAGACCTATGATACTACCGGGGTACTTGTTAAAATCAATCAATCAATCACATTTACCTGCTCCATTTCATGTTCTTTCAGCATGACTGTTTCAGGAGAAACACATGGGATCCTTGGAATGGCAGGGGAATGATTCCTAAAAAAAACACAAGTTAGAAATAAGTCTGACACAAAGGAGTCTGTAAATGACAGTTCTCCGCTCCCCTCATAATTCATCTCAGTGGCCTTTCCTCGGTTTGGGCTCTACTCTTTTCTATTCAAACTAGTTTAAAACATTCTAGGTCATTTCTTCCACCAACTCTCCTCTACTTGATTATACACGTGTCTCGTCTTGTTCAATCTGAATCATCTTCAACATCATCACCGCAACTCTCCCTCGTACTCTAGAACATTCTTGGGGGAAAGGAAATCCTCATCATGGTCCTTTATGTCCTCCATCTTCAAATACCTGGCGCCCTCGTTCCCCAGCAGCTCCTCGCCTGCCGCGACGAGGGATGAGAAGAGAGAAAAAAGAAGAAGGGTGTTAAACATGCTGTCAAGAGGATATGAACACTGAATGAATACCGACTGGACAATATGGAAAGGATATCAATGGATTGAGAGCTGCTGAGTGAGTGTAATATGTTATGACAGTAACAAAGAAGTACCATGGTACTAACAAGGTTCTTTTTAAGTACCTGAGTACTATGTGAACACCATGGTAATCCTTCAGCACCATGGTATCCCAAAGTACAATGGTATAACCATCACTGTACCATGGTACTGCCACAGTACTTTTTTTAAAAGGGAAAGTAATGCAGTACTGTAACCAGATTACTATTTCCTGTAATGAAGTGAGATAATAACTTTCAGTAATCACCATCACAATTACTTTTGTGTCATTACTTGCACTGCATTTACAATTTTAAAGAACAATGATTCATGTAACATTGAACAACAAATGCTGTTTTGAACAAAGTGATTACGATTCCTTTCAATTGGTTGAAAAGCCTGTAAGCTACTTGTGAGCGATGCATGAGCTACACTGTTGCAATTGAGCTGATTACTAATACAGAACTGAATGGACAATTTGGTATATTTTTGATAGTCCATCTGGTAAAGGTTGTTTAGAAATTAATCAACGTAACGTGATTACTGTTCAAATGTCTTTTGCTACAATGTAGAAAAAGTAATTAGTATGTATTAACTAATTACTTTTTGCAATAACTTCCCCAACACTGATTGCAAGTGAGTGAGAATGAAGCAAAGGGAAAGATTTGTGATGGACATACTGCAACAAAACATATCAAAGCAAATTAAACCTTTTGTGTGTGTGTGTGAGTGTTTTATATAATATTAAATTAACTACAAATCAGAGGCACGGATGACCTTCAAAACACAATGCCTCCACTGATATCGTGCATAGACATATGTAAACTGTGCTTGTTTTCATAAAAAAGTGAAAAACCGGTGAAGCAGAAAATGACATTTTTTCATTTAATCAACAAAAAAACAATAAGGTCAAGCAGGCTTCAGTGGCGATTTGAAGTTAAATTAAAATTATTTTTATATTGTACCTAGTACCTATATATGCACATGTATATATATATATATATATATATATAGCAAATGTATATACTCAATATACTGTATATACTGAAAGATGAAACTTAAATTTTAGCATTGGATTTGCACAAGGCAGCCACATGATGCACATCCTTGTGAGAGTCTGGATGCATGCGAAACATCTTCAGGACATTATGTAAACACACCTGTAATATCTGTAATCACACCAGGAGCTGAAATACTGATTTTATATGATGCATTGATTCTACAACACACCCTTAAAAAGAGGTGAGACACTTTGTACATCGCTGATTTTGCAATTCATAATTCTGAAGAAATTAACAAATGCACAAATATTATACAGTAAGGTTATATTTATAAGTTCTTAATCAGTGTTTTCGTCTTGTAAATTTATTTCATAAACAAAACTGCGCAAGATAACACTTTAAGGGACTATATCTGTAGTTAAATTAGTTTCTAATAAAAAAAATTCTAATATTGATCATGAACCACCACTTTTTGTTCCTGGCCCACTGGAATTTCAATGATACAAGTTTACATTTATACCATAGTGCATGATAACGGTTTCACTGAGAGAACTAAAGAGGAGATGTAGCAGGTTAGTGGGAGCGTTAAGTGCTATGGAACAGTTAGATACCTTCAGGAATAAAAGCAGGCTCATTAACATCAATGCACACATGCTAATGACACATCCATCATAATTTCAAAGAATGACAATGTGTTTGTGTGCGTGTGTGTGTGTGCTTGTAATGAAATCAGTGGCCATGGCCACCGCACGAAGAAGAAAGAGGGAAATTCATACCTAACGTTAGCTGTGCAATTCCTAGAAAAACCAAGAGCAGGATGCTCTTTAAATGCCCACTCATTTAAAGAAAGTTAATTATTCTTTGTCTTGTTTTTCCAAATGGAAATTACGCTAAAGCTCTAAAACAGACATAAGCAGAGAGCTGGATTTACCTTCATCTTCAGACACATCCAAGATCTCATCAACTGTCTCTGGGAAACTCATGCGATGTTTTTCGGTGGTGGTCTTAAAGGAAAAAGGTTATTGCAACACGTGATTTCTTACATTTAGTCTTTATTTAGTTTATAGTAGTCATAGTATGCCAAGCTGTAACTCACCATGGAAACGGTCTCTTCGGTGACCAGTTTGAGCACATCACTGACTGAGATGTATCCAAGGCGCTTTGCGATGGCAAGAGCTGATGTGCCATTCTGTAGGAGACGGAAATGTTCATTTGTCAACGTCCGACATATTTTAAAATGATGGCAATCAGTTAAAAGAGGCCAGGCTCTTACAGACGTAATTTCATTTGGTTGTGCGCCATGTTTCAGGAGAAGTGTCACAATGTCCGTATGGCCCTGCTGAGCAGCCTGATGTAGCGGTGTATATCCCATCTAATAGTCCCAAAAAGAGGACAGATTCAAAGTCCGAGCTCATATGAAAGAAAAATCACTCTTTAACACGTCAGTTGTTTCTCTTAGACCTCAAGCAGATGAAATGAAGAGCAAACCAACACTCTTGCTTCTCAGATTTTTCTTCTGAGACAAAGTAACCTCAAGAGTTTCAGATCTTAACATAGTCACAAACTGTGCACGGATATCAACTAATTGATTCTATTCCTATTCTAAGAATCCAAGGAAGAACATCTAAGACAAAGATGAAAATTTGAAAAATGAAACCACTTACAAAGCTGATCAAAGCAAAACCATTATTTCATTTACCCTGGTCTTGCAGTTTACATTGGCCTGCTGCTGTAAGAGGAATTTAACCATCTTGATATTGCCGTAATGACAAGCCACATGAAGTGGAGTGTAACCAATCTGAAGAGAAATCAACAATGACAATCATAATCACCATTATCAATAATAATATGAATCATTATGTAGAAAAGCAACATATTGCACTGTAAGAGATGTGAGTTTTCACCCGTGTGGCAGCGTAGACGGACGCCCCATGTTTCACTAGTATATCAGCAATGCCAACATGCCCCTCCTGAGCCACGAGGTGAAGAGGAGTCAGACCACTCTGAGGACAGACAAGACATGCGTGTCCATGATATGAACATAAAGCAAGATATTGCATGCTATTCACAATGTGTGTGTGTGAGTGTAATGTTGAGAGATCAATGTAAACAGGTAAACATGGTCAGCTTGAAAAGAGGTGTTCATGTTTGTTCACCTTAACTAATGCAAAAATTAAGCTATTAATATATGCAAAAGTTAATATTAACAAAAATGAACTAAGCTGATCTTGTTTATTGTTAGTTTGTGGTAAATAATGCATTAACTACTTTCAGATATCAATGTTAAGAAATGCATTAATATACAGTACGTGCAAGTTAACACTAACATTTCAAATGCATGAACTAATGTTAACAAATACAACCTTACTGTTGTATACTTTTGTATAAGTGTTACCATGACATCATTGTAATATCTGCATACTGATGTGAAATGTTCTCTCATGTATGTTTTAAATGAACTGGCATTTTCTTTTTAAGCTATCGTAGAGAGGTGTATTCAAGGACATAGCAGCGATTTGTTTTTGCTCTTTTCATCACTGAAACTGCTTCTGGAAGCGGGAAAACTTTGCTTTGAAAAAGGATGCAAAAACTGAAGTACAGTAATCTCACCTTATTGCCCAGATTTACATTGGCCTGCTTTGAGATAAGCAGCAGCACCATGTCTGGTTGGCCCTCCTGGGAGGCTAGGTGTAACGGTGTGACCCCTTGCAATGACTCAGCATTGGCAGAAGCTCCATGCTGCAGTAAACTGCTCGCTGCCTCCACCTGGTTCTGTTTGGAAGCAATGTGGAGCGGAGCATAGCCGTTCTGCGGAGAAAAAAGAGCAATGGGTTAATGCACTTTGTGGTTCAAAATAATGATTGAGACTGAGAGTGTTTTCAGTGTGTTGAGCAAGGCGATAAATAGTGTCATACCCGAGCGGCACTGTGTGGTGAGCCTCCTTTGCTGAGCAAAAGATTGACCACATCCAGATTGTTATGATGGATGGCCACATGCAACGGTGTGAGTCCAGCCTAGAGGACAAGACATCTTACTTCACTGTCATCAGTAATACCAGACGAAAATGCAGTAGATATGAACACTAAAACAATACTACTACCCTTGTAAAACATAAGCGTTTAATTGTATTGAATGTGCACTTGTGTTCAAATTCTAAAAGTATATTTTTAAAACTGTACTTGCAGGTAATATATTATTAATGAAATAAAAGGCCACTTAAAAAGAGTACTTACAGAGAGACACTTTCATGTCTGTTTATTAACCCACTTAAACAGACTTTTAAAAGTGCACTTTGCAATTTTGAGGTCAGTTTTAATAATCTTTTGTTGTGCTTTAAGAAGTACACTTATTTTGATGTGTTCATACTAAACATACTAAAGCCGATGTAAAGTATTGATAACAATTTTAACTGTAGTGTGTTATTTAATATTATACTGCATGTAATAGAAATGTAAATTTTAATACATTTTCATTTAATTGCAATTAGCTTTCAATTAAGTGTCTAAAAACTACATTCATTTCGCTCTTAAGTATTATTTCCATAACAAGTACTCTTTTAAAAGTATGCTAAAGTGTACTTAGATCATTTGGCCATTTTAAGATTAACGGTTTCAAAATCAACCAACAGCCTCATCCATGGACAGGGATAGACGTAATGTTTTGAAGTAAGTATAGTAATATGTTACATGTTAAACTTTAATTAGATTATAGTTGCTGACTTCATTTCAATTACTTGTTTGTGTCTGTTTAAACGTATGTCGACACACGAGTCATTTTGGTCAGCCACTAATGCTATCTCATAAGGTCTCATCAAACAGAATAGCATTCTATAAACACATGCATGCGTGCAGCTGATTCATACTTTGCCTGCTGCATTTGGGTTGGCTCCTCTCTCCAAAAGCAGCACTGCTACATCCACCTTCCCGTATTTGGCTGCTACATGAAGAGGAGTGAAGCCTTTCTGCATGGCACCAATCAAACAGCATTAAGGTTTCAAGAGAGAGTTTTATACAGTTTATCATTTGAATACAGCAGGCTGGTGATCTTGGGCCGCACAGTACCTTGGTCATTTTGGTGAGCTGGGCGTTCATGTCCAGTAGGATGCTGGCAGTCTGTGTGTGTCCCTCACGGGAAGAGATGTGCAGTGGAGTGTGTCCTGCTGTTGTGGTGGAGTTGGGGTTTGCCTTGTGCTCCAAAAGCAGCTTCACCATCTCGTTGTGGCCCATGCGGGCGGAACAGTGTAGCGGCGTCTGGTCATCCTGATGGAGATGAAGTTTGATATCACGCTTTCCATAAGTGATGCTTTTTTTAACAAATAACAGCGGCACTGAAACAAATGAAACTTTTAAAACAAACTTAAAAAGAAAAAATCTTCTTACAGACAAATGTATTTGTTTTTCAAAATTTCTATTTCAAAAGTTGGTTCAAACATTGCATTTTGATTTAATAATAATAATCAAACGTTTTATTTTCCCAATGACAAAAACATTCACACAAAATAAAAAGATTTCTGTCATGATAACTCTCGGAGGGATTGGCATGGTAATGTACATGACAATGTTAATGTATTTAGTCTTGGCGGAATAGATCTGCTTCGCTGCTGCTGCGGCAGAGCAACTTTAATACATTTTCATTTAATTGCAATTAGCATTCAAGTAAGTGTCTAAAAACTACATTCATTTCGCTCTTAAGTATTATTTCCATAACAAGTACTCTTTTAAAAGTATGCTAAAGTGTACTTAGATCATTTGGACATTTTAAGATTAACGGTTTCAAAATCAACCAACAGCCTCGTCCATGGACAGGGATAGACGTAATGTTTTGAAGTAAGTATAGTAATATGTTACATGTTAAACTTTAATCAGATTATAGTTGCTGACTTCATTTCAATTACTTGTTTGTGTCTGTTTAAACGTATGTCGACACACGAGTCATTTTGGTCAGCCACTAATGCTATCTCATAAGGTCTCATCAAACAGAATAGCATTCTATAAACACATGCATGCGTGCAGCTGATTCATACTTTGCCTGCTGCATTTGGGTTGGCTCCTCTCTCCAAAAGCAGCACTGCTACATCCACCTTCCCGTATTTGGCTGCTACATGAAGAGGAGTGAAGCCTTTCTGCATGGCACCAATCAAACAGCATTAAGGTTTCAAGAGAGAGTTTTATACAGTTTATCATTTGAATACAGCAGGCTGGTGATCTTGGGCCGCACAGTACCTTGGTCATTTTGGTGAGCTGGGCGTTCATGTCCAGTAGGATGCTGGCAGTCTGTGTGTGTCCCTCACGGGAAGAGATGTGCAGTGGAGTGTGTCCTGCTGTTGTGGTGGAGTTGGGGTTTGCCTTGTGCTCCAAAAGCAGCTTCACCATCTCGTTGTGGCCCATGCGGGCGGAACAGTGTAGCGGCGTCTGGTCATCCTGATGGAGATTAAGTTTGATATCACGCTTTCCATAAGTGATGCTTTTTTTAACAAATAACAGCGGCACTGAAACAAATGAAACTTTTAAAACAAACTTAAAAAGAAAAAAATCTTCTTACAGACAAATGTATTTGTTTTTCTAAATTTCTATTTCAAAAGTTGGTTCAAACATTGCATTTTGATTTAATAATAATAATCAAACGTTTTATTTTCCCAATGACAAAAACATTCACACAAAATAAAAAGATTTCTGTCATGACAACTCTTGGAGGGATTGGCATGGTAATGTACATGACAATGTTAATGTATTTAGTCTTGGCGGAATAGATCTGCTTCGCTGCTGCTGCGGCAGAGCAAGTACTGAGACTTGCTACCGCCAATACATCCACAACATGCTGCTGTGAGCATGTAAGAAATATTGCTGCTGCAAATATAACGTACATGAAATAACCCCCATATAGCATACATGAATCACCTCGTAGCAGATCTATACAGGTGGAGCTGGGGAAGGTGGAGGGTTTCTGAAGCAAGCTGCAGCTGCTACTGCAAGCTCTAGTCATATATTTGAATGTTGAGCAGCGAGCTCATTGGTTACCGATACAGGAGAGAACCAATCAGCTGTGCCATGTGATAATGATGTCATTAGGTCAGATTGAGTTAGACCTATCGGACTGCGCCATCTAGAGTTTCATGCCAGAACTCCGTGTATAATGCAGTAACAGGCTGTGAAAGACTTGAAAGGACAGAAATCCATTAAAAAATATATAATTTTTGAAATGCATTCGTTCCAATTGCTTGGAATCTGTGTACATCTGTTTAAATTGAATACATTTAATTAGCTAAATATCATAAATGTGGATACAATATGGGTAGCTATGCAACAAGCAACATTCAATTAGTTCAAATGTAGGCTATATGATGGAAACAAATTGTTAATGATAAATATTTAAACTTGGTTATTATGTATTTAAAACACATTCAGTTTAGTCCTAGAGAAATCAGAGCATTTATTTATGACTGACAAATATGCATCACATTAAGTTAAATTAAAACTGTGTCATTTATATAAATAGAACAACACATTTCTAAAGAATGGTACACTGCCTTTAAATTATTCTATGTCTGTTTGCCCATTGTGTTGGTTTATTTGCTCCGCGCAACACTTTCCATTTAAAGATCTATAAGAGCTGCTCTTTTATTTGAGAGCCAGTATATCCCTTGTCAAATAATTTTGGTTTTAATTCATCAAAGGTTTGTGTAAATCCGAACGCTGCTGCCCACAGAAAGTTGATTAAATCCATTTATAAACCCGAAGTCTTGAACAACACACTAGCGTGTGTGATTTGTTGACTGAAGTGTCCGTTGTTAGACGCTCCCACACCGCATGGCAAAACCAGACTGACTGTTTCACTCCTCAAAGTTGCTATAAATGTGACAAAGAGAGTTATAAATGCAAATGCAGCAGAGCTGGTGTACTTTACCATGAATAATTGAGAGCGACTCTGTTGTGGGAGATCCAATCAAACAGATGCACAATTTGTCGAGCACCCTTATTAAACACACTTTGGAAAGCTCACTGTGTGTGTTTTTGTCCCTTTAGTTGTATTGCCAACATTATACACACATAATGCGGTAGATGCATTGCAAGAGAGGTGAAGAATGCAAGCTGCGGTTTCTGCACAGGCAAGCAGCTATGAGACATGCACCATAGTCCAATTCACTTCATGTTGGTTCGTCTGTATTGCCTTCATCCTAAAGACCACATGAACTGGAAAAGAATGAATCCTGTTAGACCTATCGGACTGCGCCATCTAGAGTTTCATGCCAAAACTCTGTACTTATCATTATAAAGACCTTATATCATACTTAAGCCTCAAATGTTAAATATACATCGGATTGGTTTCTTCTTTAAATGATAAAAAAAGTCAAACTATGAATGGTATTATAATGTTATACTAAAACTAAAACAATGGAAAAACCCTTGAGATAACATGTAGAAAGAAAAAAACATATCTTAAGCGGGCAAAATAACATAAGAGGACTTTGAACGATTAATTGCCGCTTTGAACGATTACGTAATTGTGGCATCCATAATTGTAATTGCGATTAGAAATTCGATTAATTGTGGAGCCCTAAGTCGAGGGCAGCCCTAGTCAATATAGTAGTTTTTTGTTTGGCTTTTTACAACTTAATTTCACCATAAACAAAAGCTAAATTAGCTATAATATGAAAACAAAACATGCGAAAAATACAATTTAAACAAAATTGTTTGTTTTAATTGTATATACTGTATAGGGAGTGTTATTTGCTTTTGGACAAACTGAACAAAATAGGTTTCATGGACAATTATAAAAATGCACTTTTAATAAATGACATGGCCATTTCAATTATTTTCCGTATACTATTATATTATCTTAATAACATGACTTCTCATTTTCCTTAGCTAAGCCTCAATGAAACCCCATTTTTTAAAAGGAATAAAAGGCAAAATATAAAAAACTAAACTAAACCAAACCAAAATGTAATTGAAGGTCATAAACTGAAATACAACAAAATAGCATAACATGTGCTGCACCTTGGCTTTGGCGTCCACTGGAGCTGCGTTTTGCAACAGGAACTCAGCAACTTCACAGTGACCAGCTCGAGACGCCATGTGCAGAGGTGTTTCCACTTTCTACAAATGCACGTTAATGTACAGGTACATGATCGCATACTATACAAGCACATCTTGCAGTCAAAACATCTTAAATCACAAAAATCTTTGAGGAAAATGTTGCTTTGTGACAGTGTGTAGCTTTAACTGCTGATATTTCTTACCACGTTTGAGGCATGTGGTGACGCTCCTTTTTGCATCAGTATCTTCACTATATTCAGATGACCCATAAAGGAGGACACATGCAGTGGGGTCAATCCTGACTGTTGGGACAGAAAGCATACAGACACAAAGAACTAAACATGTCACAGCCTGAAATTATGGCGGCATTAAATGCTTTCAAAGACCTCTAGTATACTAGACCCTGCTCTAATCAAATAGTTTATGCTACTTAAAGGCAAATCTGATCAAATTTGATCCACATGAGTCCAGTTCATCAATTAACATATTATGAAGTCGCTCTCACATCAAAATCCACTGACATGTTTGTTTAGAACTGTTTTGGCTTGTAAACGGTGCTCGATCTGTGGAGATCGCTCTCCTGATTCAGGGAAAGCAATATTATGTATATAGATGCCTTGTATTTTAGCTGGAAGTGATGGTTTGAAGTTAAAAACGTCTTAATGATGGATTTGTTTCTTACAAACATGCAGCTTTTGGATTCTCCAGATGTTAACTGATGGACTGGAGTGGTGTGGATTATTGTGATGTTTTTATCAGCTGTTTGGCACCCATTCACTGCAGAGCATCCATTGCTGAGACACTGATGCAGTGCTACATTTCTCCAAATCTGATGAAGAAACAAACTCATCTCCATCTTCTTTTTTATTGAAATGCATTCCCAATCTTTTAAATGAGCACCGTATCTCTTCTATGTTTTGGGACACTTTGATTGTGAATTTGTTTCTTGTTTCCTGTCTTAAGTGTCCTTTTCTCCAAAGAGGTCTGTAATATCTGGAGAAAACTCAATGGCAGTTGTTGTTCTTGACTATAAATTTCAGGAGCGACAGGTAAATAATGTCATGATAACACTGATGTGCTGGTGGCTGATAAGATGACAAGAACCTGCATGGGATAGATAAAATAGTTTAATAACAAATTTGTGATTTAGCTTATATTTTCCATGCAAAACATTTATTTTGGTACAATATATTAGCTTTGAATGACGGTGGGGAAAAAAAGAGTTTTTTGGAAGCATATTGGTGTACTTCATCTATCAGAGACTAACTGAACTATGCAATGGGTTGTCTTTTAATTGTTGAACACTGTCAATGTAAGACGTTTTTTCCCTCCATAAATCCCTATATTATAGTATTTAATATAATGCAATGTTATTTATATTACACAGTGATCCTGTGGCTCACCTCTGTTACAGCCTCCAGGGATGCAGAATGCTTTAATAGCAGGTCCATTACACGCATGTGGTTCTTCTTACAGGCAATATGGAGTGGTGTGAAGGAAAAAAAGAGTTTTTTGGAAGCATATTGGTGTACTTCATTTATCAGAGACTAACTGAACTATGCAATGGGTTGTCTTTTAATTGTTGAACACTGTCAATGTAAGACGTTTTTTCCCTCCATAAATCCCTATATTCCTTGTTCTCTCTCTTTATTTTGTTTTTTGTAAATTAAAAAACAAATTCAAGATACAATGGCAAATTCATAATAAAAGTCCCCCAACACACCAAACAAATACAGTGACCCTTAAAGGTCAGTGAAATACATTACAATAATACTGAAGAGAATTTAAGTATTTAATATAATGCAATGTTATTTATATTACACAGTGATCCTGTGGCTCACCTCTGTTACAGCCTCCAGGGATGCAGAATGCTTTAATAGCAGGTCCATTACACGCATGTGGTTCTTCTTACAGGCAATATGGAGTGGTGTGAAGCCATTCTAGGCATGTCAAGAGTGGAGAGATATTTCTATGTAAGTGAACAGATTCTGCCCATTTTAAAACAACAGGGTAAACACTATTACGTGCATTAGTTGAGCCACATGTGTCTTTTAAATGTGTACTAACCAGAGCACGGGTGTTTGGTTTGGCTCCTTTATCCAGGAGAACCTTGGCCATGCGATGGTGTCCACAGTGTGCCGCCACATGCAGTGGGGTCAGGTGGTCTAGAGTGATGTCATCAATCTCGGCATTGTACTGTAATAGCTGTCTGATACAGTCCAAATGATCACCCTGGGCTGCCATATGTATTGGAGACAGGCCATTCTGTGCAGTGAACATATGGGAACATTTAGAGCTGCCAATGGCATTTTCTTTCTTTTTTCAACTTTTCATTTGTATTACGTGTTTTGTCTTACATGACATTTTTTGTTTGTCTTAAGGTTACTGAATATATTACTACATTTAAGATTTATGCATTATTTTATTTGAATTACATATAAAATGTACATCCATTTAGATTACACAGTTTAAAATAAGCAAACTACTAAACTTAGTGTAATGCATATTTGTCAATCATGCATAAATGAAACGGGTCAGATTTCTGTAAAAGTACTAATAAACTGAGCGTGTTTTAATTTACATTAACCAGGTTTATACATGTATTGTCAATAAATACATTTTCAGTCAAATATTTGAATGAATTTAATACTGATTGTTCCACAGCTAGCAATATTTGAACCATGTTCATACAACTGAATACATTTAGTTTTATTATATTTATATACATTTATAATTTAGTATACATATATTTATACTGACTCAAGTAACTTTGCATTTTGAAAACATGATCATTAAAATTGACCAAGTTCTTACCGGTTTCATTTATGTACATTTTGACTCTATGACGGACAAATATGCATCACATTGAGTTTATTAGTTTGTTTAAGTTCTTACATAACCTCATAAGAACAATAGCTTGACCTTTGTTAATGTCATTGAAGTGAACCAAATCACAGAGATTAATACACTATTAAATTCTTCTTCACCTTGCCGATGCGTCATTATTTTCCCTTTTATTGTTGCAACTATGAAGCTACTCATTTGTGGCAGATGAAATACAAATCTGAACGTCTCCATGTCAATGTTTTTATGGCTATATGAAATTTGGGTGCACGCCTACCTTGGTCTTGGCCTGTATTGGGGCTCCTTGGTCCAGAAGGATCTCGATTATTCTCACATGGCCATTTCTGGCAGCACAGTGAAGAGGAGTCAACTCATCCTGTGTTAAAAAAGGGAAGAAGAACAAATGTGCATACAAATTCTCTGTCACTAAAGTTTAGAATTGTAGCTTTTTTAACATACTTTTGTCTTGGCATCAATCTTTGCTCCTCGGTCCAGCAGAAGTCTGACCATGATGACATTTCCTCTCCTGGATGCAATATGTAGAGGTGTGATCCCGTTCTGAAAGAAAGCCACACTAGTTTGAAAGCAACTGTAAACTGACAGAGGATCAGTGTAGAAATATTTAAAAGACAGACCTTGGGTGTGAAGTTCACATCAGCTCCTCTGTTTAGAAGTAGCTGGGAAACATTCAGGTTTTCATAGTGGGCTGCGATATGGAGTGGCGTGAAGCCTGTCTGTAGAGGATCATGGGAAACGGAGTTAGCAGCCAGCACACTCTGTCTTGTCGATGTAAAATATAGTTGTTATTCTGACTGCTTCATTATCATTGCAAAGATCAATGAACCGTGTACACTACTGTTCAAAAGTTTGGGGTAGATAAGAAAGGAGTCTTTTCTGCTCGCCGAGGCTGCATTTATTTGATTAAAAATACAGTAATATTATGACATATTATTACCACTTAGAATGATTGTTTTCTATTTTATTATATTGTAAAATATAACTTACTCCTGTAATCAAAGCTGAACTGCAGTCTTCAGTGTCACATGATCTTCAGAAATCATTCTAATATGCTGATTTGCTGCTCGAGAAACATTATTATTATTATCATCAGTGTTCAAAACAGTTGTGCTTCTTCATATTTTTGTGGAATAGAAAGTTAAAAAAGATCAGCATTTATTGGAAACATCTTTTTTTAATATCATTAATGTCTTTACTGTCACATTTGATTAATTTGAAGCTACTGTATGTAAGTTTCTTACCTTGAAACATCAATCATTCTGATGGTAAAGTGACTTTTAATAAGGCAAATAAGTTTGATCCGGTGTCGAAATTCCGCAAAAAGGGAGGAATGCTTTACGGCAGGAACCAAATGCACATGTAATTATGACAGTGATGATTACGACTTAACTGTAAGGGGCTCCAAAGTCGCAAAAATACACAAAACTACATACAGTTGCTTTAATATCCCTTACGAAAAAGAAGTTTATTCAAGTGTGCTATTAGTATACTTCTTTTAAACTAAAAAGTCTACTTTTTATGTACTTCTCAGAAATGGGCTTTATGTACTTCTCAGAAATGGGCTTTATGTACTTCTCAGAAATATACTTAAAATGACATTCAAGTATACTTGACTTATACTTAGAAAAAGTCTAAATATATTTGAGCTATAGCTACTTGTGCTCCGGGAATCCATGTTTTCATTGTTATACGGTAGGGGGCGCTAGAACACATCTTCTGTACAGAAACAAGCGAAGAAGAAACCGAAACAACAGACGCTTCCACGTGTAATCTAACACGATCATCAGACATAAAACAGCATCAAAACTGTGTAACGTTATGGAATAAAATGTCGACTCCGTCTACGTTTTGATTATCATTCTGAATTCAATTAATATTTTTTCAGCTTTTTGTTCAAAATGTTGTTTATTTCTTTATTTTTTATTTATGAAACTTATCCACATTCAAGTGTTTAAAAAAAGAATGCATGACGCTAGAATAAAATGTATTTGTTTACAAGCAGATACTCTGTTCTTTTGATGTTTTGTATGTTCAGATATTCATGTAACAAAATATATACAAATTAATACCTAAATAGGGACATAGTAGTATACTTAAAGTATGATGTAAAGTTCACTTAAAGAAAACTTACGAGTA